GCGCCGGCCCCTCTGGAGACTTGGAGAGCGCCGGCCCCTCTGGAGACCTGGAGAGCGCCGGCCCCTCTGGAGACTTGGAGAGCGCCGGTGCTGTCATGGAGGCCAGGGGAGTTGCTACTGCAGTCATGGAGGCCTGGAGCTCTGCAGCAGACGGCGAAGAGACCTGGAGCTCTGCAGCAGACGGCGAAGAGACCTGGAGCTCTGCAGCAGACGGCGAAGAGACCTGGAGCTCTGCAGCAGACGACGTAGAGACCTGTGGCTCTGCAGCAGACGACGGAGAGACCTTGGGTGCGGCGAAGGTGATGGGTGCAGGGTGAATTATGGGTTCAGAATGAGTACTAGTGACCCTGGGTGTGCTGAGAGTCCTAATTTCTATTAATAATTGATTATACTCAGGGAGCTGAACGAGACCGGGCCATGAAACTAAAAACTTCTCCATCAGGGAAAATATGACTTCTGAACAGTCCGGGTTATTTTTAGCATTAATAAATGAATCTAATAAAGTCTGGTTTATAAATGCAAGATCCTGGGGTGAATATGTGACTGACAGAAACATGTCTCTATGTGAGGGTGTGGTGTCAGGTGTCGCCCCCACTGGAAACCTGGGAGGTGGGGCGGCGGAACACGCCCCCACAGAGTCACTGATACTATGCACCGGAGGTACGGTCAGGCCGGGTTGGACAGCCGCGGTGACGGTGAGAGGCCAGACTCCGCCCCCACCAGGAACCTGGAGGGTGAGGCCACGGAATCCGCCCCTGTGACGTCAAGTGGACCGGACTCGCCGAACCAAACAGGAGTGGACTGGAGCTCCCGCGGGAGGTCGGATCTCGCCCCCACCGGAAACCTGAGAGGTGAGGCGGCGGACCCGGCTCCCACAGAAACACCAGAACCAACTCTAAAATTCGGCTCAGCCGACGAGACCGGCCCGGTCGCCGCGGGCTGCCCCCGGGACCGCTTTCTACCTCCCCGGCGACGACGGGTGAGTCGAGGGACAGGAACAAAACAGAACTCCTCCTCGATTTCTTCGTCCTCCCCCGACATCCATCTCGAGTAGCCGGGCGA